GACAATGCAAAGCCATGTCTTAACTTGTTTTCCAGAATCAGAGGAAAGTTTAACATAACAAAATTTTATAGCTCCTGCCCAGTAACATATATTACTTAAAAAAAAAAATACCTTTCCCTTATCATGCATTATTCTTTTACATGTACATTTTTCCTGACGTATTGAAGTAATATTCCGCGGTTTGCTATGAGTTGGAGGTTTATGGCCCTTCTGTGGCAGATCAGACCAAACATAACTCATTCATAGCTACTTAGTGCTCAGGGAAATAAACCCCTGAACTTAAATAACTATGGTGTGACCTCTGTAAAATATTATTTATGGCTTTAAAACTACTATTATGTAGATATCAAGATGTGCCAAATGTTATAAACCAAACACCAGCCAGCAAATGGGACAACTACTATTCCATTTATTTTCTTCCTTCCTTTCTGGGTATTTCTCTGCAAATACTACTTTCATTTAAATGGATTCTGGGGTAATTACCTGGCAGGGGAAAGCAATGTTTATTTACATTTTATTATAGAATATTACAGTAAGTAAAAAATTCTCTTTCACAAAGAAGCACCACAAAAATGTGAACATTCATTAGCATACTGGAGTTTAATAGGAAAGATATTGATTACTTTTGAGCATAAAGTAACTATCCTCACTATCAATGAACTAATGTAACCCATCTGCTATTCATTTCTGCAAATTAATTTATGGAGGAAAACCTGACTGTATGTTTAAGTTATCCAGATGGGATACGCTGAGCATTTCCATGCTGTTAAGAATATATGTGCATTCTCAGCTCTCTTTAAGATTTTCAATGTTTAGAGTGCCATCTCTGCATCTTACATTATTAGATGCAGCTCTGCATCCAATAATTTCCTGAATTATTTTCTATGGATTCATCTATATTGTAGGAAATAAAATGTTCAGTGGTAAGAAAGTAGTGGAGTCATTGGTTTCCTAGTTGTCATTCAACACATGTTTGAGGACCCATCATGTGCTGGTTATGGTACTTGGCACTGGCAATAATAAGGATGAATGAGAAAAAAATTATCAGCTCTCGTGGGACTAGCAGCCTTAATATGGAGATAGATAAATGAATAATCAGCTTCTAGGCACATGGCAAATGCTCCAGAAAGAAATGGAGTGAGTACCAAGAGAGGACTAGCATAAGGACAGGGTGTGGGAGAGGCAAAGAAGACTTGCAAAGAACTTCACAGAGGATGAAAATACGGAGTCAAGTCTTAAGGAAGAATGAATGAGTAGATTCTGGTGGTCAGGTGGAGGAGCAAGACCAGCATAAGCAAAGACACAGAGGTTAGGGCCTCTTCAAATCATTCAATATGGCTGGAATTCGGTGGGGTGTTGGAGGAAAAGTGGATGAAGACTTAGAACGAGGCCAACCATGAAGGTGTGTATGTCCTGCTGAGGAGTTTACTTTCTCCTGTAGGCTGTAGGTAGACATGAGTGATTTTGCATTGAGGGGTAACATGATGAGACTTGTTTTGTGTAGCTCATTGTGGCTGTGATGTGGAAAATAAACTGGAGCCCGGGAAGGAGGCTTCTCCAACTTTCAGAAGAGAAATAGCAAAGCCCTGGGCCAGGGAAGTGATAAGAGAATTGACTGAAAGTGCATTTGGAATATAGAAGCAACAGGATCTGATAACTAGGTTGATTCTAAGAGGAAACAGAAAGGAAGAAGTCAGGGAGACAATTCAGGGGTCCTTGAGTGGATACAGGAGTCATTTTCAGCATTTGATGCTATTCTTGGAAGGATGGATTTGGAGAAGTGGCCGATGAAGTTAGTATGGCCCACACAGAAGTTTTGGTACCTATAGGGAGGGCATTCCGATGTGTTCAAGAGGTTTTTGGAAATGTGAGTTTGGAAAGAAGTTAGGGTTGGAGACACAGATTATGCCACTTATATGTATGATGTTCAGTAATGTTCTTAAAGATACATGAAAGGGAATATATGAGCTAATTAGCTCATCTAAGTAAAACTTAAGACCACAATTCAGTTGTTTGTAAACTACATTGAAATAACAGATAAGCCTTCATCCTTCAAGACCTGTAGGAAAAAACAAAAAGAGTAGAAACTGTTTTACATGCTGTCACTTAACATGAATAGGAAATGTTTCCTTTCCCATTTTGGATTCTTTAACAAAAATTGGAAATGTCTTTTGCTTATTAAAATAACAAGAATTAATCAGGTCTTCCTTTGAAAATACTCATAGTCCATTCCAATGATTGTCATTGCCTCATCCAGAAGTTATGCTTCCTATTTTTTTTAGAACATTACTTACTTTTATAGAGTTCTGTACAAAACTGAGCAAAATACAAAGGAATGTATTTCTACCTCATTGGTCTTGATGACTTTCTAACACTTCATGCATTTGGATGGATAAGATTAATGAGATCACGTAGTGTTAAGCACCTCGGACTTTCAGAACAAAGGCCTTTTAGAAGAACATAGTATCATTATTAATGACACATCATTTACAGTTTTCATCGGTAATGTAAGGTTTCAGCCACTATAATAGGAACTTAGTTAAGAGCTCAATGTAGAGGGCAAGGCTATTAGCTAAGGTTCTTGACAGTAATACCTTTTGCTTCTAAAGAAAAAGATAAATCACACTCAAATTGATCAAAAAGACAAGCCAAGGGGTTCAGAAAGAGGTGAGCCACCATTCACTTACTAAATTTCTCAAAGGCCTTGTCATCAATGAGTCCTGGTGGTGAGCCCTGCCCTCATCATGGGTTTCCTTTGCTGCCAATCCCTTGCCTTCTAGGTATCCTGCTTCTCCAGAAAAATGCCTCATGCTTCAGACCTCATCTTTCCCTTTATTCTCCTCTCCTGTCTCCCTACAACCCCCAAAGTTTATGTTGGGTTTCATTGCCACAGGATTTTTCTCTGTCCTAAGTGAACTTGGACAACAAAGTACATTAAATAAAGGAATGCTGGTGTGCTCTGGTAACCTAATTGACATGAGTACCGCTAATGACGGCAATCTTAATGCAAGGTGGCAAAGCAGTGGGGACACATTTTTTCCTGAATACGCGTTGTCAGTGTATTGTATTGCTAACAATCAGGTAAATAATGGAGGATGCCTGTGTACATAGCATCAACACTATTAGAAAAATTGGCAAATTCCTGACGAACTGCTGCTCTGATATAAGAATCTCTTTGGGACCTTAATATACTTCAGGCTCATGAAGACCTTCTTAATGACTCTTTTAAAACTACTCTGTTTTGGTTGGAGGAGACTTAAGAGACATTCTCTTGGGGGAAAAAAGTTAAAGTTAATTTTTTTTTAAAAATTGCCATATAAAGTCAGCCAGCTCTGTTTTAGGTAGAGAGAAAAAAATCTGGAACACAAAGAAATGTCCAATAAAAATAACAGAAGAGGGAATTTTTTTTTTTTTTTTTTAAGACAGAGTCTCACTCTGTCACCCAGGCTGGAGTGCAGTGGCATGATCTCGGCTTACTGCAACCTCTGGCTCTCAGGTTCAAGCAATTCTCCTGCCTCACCCTCCTGAGTAGCAGTCACTACAGGCGCCCACCACCACGCCTGGCTGATTTTTGTATTTTTAGTAGAGGCGGGGTTTTACCATGTTGGCCAGGCTGGTCTCGAACTCCTGACCTCAAATGATCCATCCACCTTGGCCTCCCAAAGTGCTGGGATTACAGGCATGAGCCACCACGCCTGGCCGGGAATTTACTTTTTAATTACGTATATGCCCTTGGACTTCTTATATCCAAGGGCATATAGGGAACTAGTTGATGACCTTGCAGCTCTACCAGCAACTCTGAGAGTTAACTCAAGATTGTTGAGATCTCCCATGACAGGAAGATGGCAACAGATTTTAAGTAAGGTAGAAAGGGTTTTGATTATATATTATGAAGTGGTATTTGCTCTAAAGGAAATTCCAGACTTTTAGTCTGTCTCTGAATTTTAATAATTACATAGGCCAGGTTTGGTGGCTCACACCTGTAATCCCAGTACTTTGGGAGGCCAAGGAGGGCAGATCATTTGAGGTCAGAAGTTCAAGACCAGCCTGACCAACATGGTGAAACCCCATCTCTACTAAAAGTACAAAAAAATTAGCTGGGCATGGTGGTGTGTACCTGTAATCTCAGCTATTTGGGAGGCTGAGACATGAGAATCTCTTGAACCCGGGAAACGGAGGTTGCAGTCAGCCAAGGTCACATTATAGCACTCCAGCCTGGGCAACACAGTGAGACTCTGTCTCAAAAATAATAACAATAATAACTTTATACTGAGCAAATTGGTTAGTTGATTTGATTGTGGAGATACCCGGAAAATCTTTCGTGTCATATTACTGTTTTAATTTTTTTAACCATCTGAGGAAATACAGTGACATATTACTGTTTTAGGAGCTCTCACCAACTACTTTACTTTCTCTTTTGTGCTTTTATTTTACAAAGTTAGGTCAAAGCTCATTTCCAGTCCAATTGTTGAGGTTCACTCTTTTCTATCTCACTTCCCGAAGATACCTCCAGCCAGGGAACATTTACTGGGCAACAAGGGAATTCAGGCCAACAAGAAGCCTGAGACACCAGACAAAAGGCTACAGCACAAGGGATCATTGCAGGAAAATGTATCCCACTTCAGTTTTAAAGTTTCTGCTGCTTTGAAGTCCAAAATATCCAATAAATAATTGCAATTTATAATTCAAGTAAAATGCAGAAGACTACTATGATCACATTCTTTAATAACTTTTAACACTACAAAAAATTTTAAATTGACATTTATTAAATTCAAACAGTATTTGAGGACTATCTAGTTTATATACATGTTGAGGTTGATAAAGTTCAAATTCTGTTTTAGGAAGTCAACAATGAATTGAGTTCATTTTAACTGAATGTTATTATAAAAGATGGTTTTCTTGCTGCAGTGTAAATCTGCTATTAAGAAATTAGCAAAGTGGCTAGTGCTGTTTGTGCCTTTAAGAGCATAGTTCAAAAGAATCAAGCAAAGTCGATAACAAAGGTAAGACAAACATAACCTTTATTCTCTCTCAAAAACCCGGAGAACAGGGCCTGGAACCACATTCATTAATTTAATCAGAATCAGAATACTTTAACTTTCATAGCCTCATTTAACATTTTATAGCAATATACTGATCATTCTAAAAATAACAAAATACATGTTGCTCTCAGCTACATAGTAAAAAATGTAGTAAATTCTCCTACCCAAAATAGAGGAGGGCTGGGCTAGTGAGCTGCTCAAACATTTGTAACAAATAAAAATTTCTCTATGTACATATAATGATCATATTTTCATAGCCTAAAATCACCATACAAAATCTAATAATAAAATTGTGTCGTGTTCAGGAGTTGGGAGGCCAACACATTGAATTAACAAAGTGTTTTTGGTATATGCAAATAATGGGATAGAATATCTTGACTCAGGATTGTCCCAGAAGTTCTAAGGCAGATGTCAATGACATGCACATTGTTCATTGTTCAGTAATTTTCAAAGACTAGAATAAACTATGTAAACTATTCAATACAATTCAATATTACTTAACTGCTAAAAAAATACTTCAAGATCTTGCACTGCCTTAAGTGAATGAGTATAATCAAATTAATAATTGGAAAATAGCTTAATAGCAGGCACTGAAGAATTCTGACAAATACCAAATAACTGTTTGCATTTACAAATAAACTGGTAAGATGATATCACAAAGGGGTTTTTTTAAAGTTATTTTGCCATACAAGGTTTTTTAAAAATAAAACGATTGCTTCTTAGAATAACTTTAAACATATTGATTGATGTTAGTCAATCAAAATCAATTGAATTATTTTAGTTGAGTTTTAACGTCATCTCAAAGGTTCAAATAATCTTAAGATTCTAGTTTACATAAAAGACTATATATGCCTTAGCACTGATTCAAATATGATTACTAGGAATCAACAGATTTCATTTGAAAAGATAAATTTTTTTCCAGATGCAAGGGAAAAGGTATGAAGCCCTTTCTAAACACACACACGCACACTAAATGATAAAGAAGATTGAGCTAGGAGACATAGATGTGACTTTAGGGAACTTACTTTCCCTCGAAGATCTCTTCCAGCTGTCTGATTCTAGGTTAAAGCATTTCCTCTGAACTGTACAAACTGGCCTCACATTTTCGAGTTTCTACACAGTACCTGGCAAAGTTTGCCTGTTTGCTTTTATACCAAAATACTAAAATATTAAATGAATAACATAAACCCTGTCCTACAACTCTGTATGCCAACTAGTTTTCCCGAGATAGTGATTTTTTAAAAATTCATTCCACAAGTCATCAAGAGCTTCCTACGTTCAAGGCAGAGTGCCAGACCAAACCTGGAACATCATGGTTGTCACTGCCCCTGGGAACAAATTACTATCCAAAAAAGTGAACTCAGTTGACTGCTTCAGGCCCAACCTGGTTCAGGGTCGTGATTCCCAAATTTGAGGGAGTATGGGACTCTCCAGAGGAGTTTGTTAAAACACAGCTTCGAGGGTCTCATCCCAGCCTTACTGTGACTGAATCTCTGGTTGGTGTCTCCTAATCTACCTGCATATTTAACAAGCATGTTCTCCCTCACGCTTCCACATCTCTGCAGGTAATTTGTGGGCCTCACTCTCCATTCCAACCCACTCCCCTCACCAAAGAAAAGAAAACCACAGTATTGTAGTGGCAAAAGCTCTAGACTCAAGAGTCAGGAGTCACTTGCAGCTGCCTGATCTTAGTTACTTCACATTGCTAGGTCTCTCAATCTCTTCCTCTGATAGGGGTTGAACAGGAGTCTCCATAGGGATCCCTTCCATTCTCAGACTTGAAGAACCTCACATGGCAACTCGGTGTCGTGAAGGAGGTGGGAAGAGTTTGCAATGATGTTTCACTCTGCAGTCAACATCCCTCCCCGCGGCAAGACAGTCTAGCGAGCCCCCCAAGAGCAAGGGGGTAATTCCCTTCTCTGATCCCCTCATTCACAAAGGGAGGAAAAGCGAGGAGAGGTTGGAATTGGGCCAGGGGCGAGGAGGAGATGCCAGAAGAAGCTCGGAAGAGTTTTGGCAAGAAGCAGGAAGGATCCCTGGAAAGCTGGAATCACTCCTCGTCGTCGTCGTCCTGGTCCTGGTAGCGAATGTAGACGATCAGCATGACAAAGCCGGTGAGGATGCAGAGGGAGCCGACGACCAGGTAGGCGATGCCGAGGAAAGGGTTCTTGCCACCCATCCACGAGATGCTGCTGAAGATGAGGAGCTTGTGGCCGCCGAACGCGCGCACCGGGTAGTTGTAGGTGATGTTGACGCGGTAGGCGCCCCGCGGCAGCCCGGCCGAATAGTTGCCCTGGCGGATGCGCGCATACAGCTTGCGGAACATGGGCAGCGCCGCCGTGCGCATCCACACCACGAAGTCCTGGTTGATGAAACCGGTGTTGTTGGGGTCGGGGCTGAGCTCGTAGACCGGCCGGCGCCAGTTGGGCGGGGGCGCCGTGCCCTGGAAGGCCAGCGCCAGGCTGCCGTTGACCAGCGGCGGGTTGCGGAACTTGACGTGGTAGTCGGTCCACCAGGCGATGCCGGAGCGGTCGAGCGGCACCTCGACGTAGAGCCCGCCTGGCAGGCGCTGGTGCCAAAGCGAGAAGGAGTCGTTGAAGAGACTGTTGGCGATGGCGCCGCAGGGCGCGATGGGCAGGCCGGCCGCGCTAAGCTGGTAGGGGGCGCACTCGTTGACCGGGTGGCGCAGCGCGCTGGGCAGCCCGCTCAGCTGCTCGTCGTCGCGGGACACGCCGTAGCGCCGGTTGTTCTGGTAGAAGTTGGTCAGCTCGTAGTAGAGGTACACGGGGCCCTGGAAGAGCTCGGGCAGCGAGAAGGACCAGGCGCACGAGCAGGGGGGCGGCGGCGCGCGGCCCTGGCCAGCCTCGGCGCACACCGAGCAGTTGCTGGTGCCCGAGTCGCCGGTGTAGTCGTACTCCAGCTCCTTGATGCCGTTGGAGGAGTAGTAGAGGCCCAGGCCCAGGCCAATGAAGGCCAGGCCCGCGCAGAAGAAGAGCGGCAGCGCGATGCTGGCCGACAGCAGCGGCTGCCAGGCTGGGAGGCGCTGCTGCGTGAAGGCGGTGTTGTCGGGCTGGTGGGCGCCCCGGGCCGTGGCGCTCCAGGTCATGGCGGCCGTGCGGGGACCGACGCGTGGGCTGACCGAGGGGGGCCCCGCCGCGCGAGCCTGGGGACTGCTCGCGGGTCGGGTTTCCAGCCGGCTCAGGTGGGTTTTTGCCCGGGCCCCGCCTCTGCCTCCCTCACAGGTGAGTTTAGTTCCAGGCCCTACAAGCAGTGCCCACACCCCCCAGTTCCGCCTCCGCCCAGGTGCGCTCCACCGTCGCGGGTCACCGGGAGCCGCACCTCGCTCGCCCCTTCCGAGGTGAGCAGGTGGGTGTTTTTTACCTCACCTGGTAGACTCAGTGTCGCCTTTCCTCTCAGTCCGGGTCATGGGACTCCAGCTCCTCCTCTCCAAGGTGAGTGGCGGCCTCGGACTGCCTCTGAGTGGCTCATACCTGGCTCAGGTACCACCTTCTCTTTCGCCTTCCAAGTGACTGGATTTCCTGGGCCAGTCTCCCGAAATCAAAAGGCGCTCCGGCCTCCTCTCCTGAGGGCTTGCACCATGTCCGGGAGGCTTGAAGATTTCAGGTTGTTAATCCCCTGTTATTTGCGGGGAAAAGGTGACTCTAGACCATTTTGTCTTTTAGGTTATCTTCAGAAAACCCTTTCGCCCAGCTTTCAGTCTCAAGTTGGGAGTGTCCGGGGAATTACGTTGTGATAAATCTGTTTCGAATTCAACGCCTGTGTTCAAATTTTAGCTTTTTTTTTTTTTTTTTAAGGGAAAATGATTTTCTGGCCAGATCACCCAGTCTGGCTGTATAACTAGGAAATGTGGAAAGTTCTCTAAAAATAAAATGATCCTTAAAAAGAATCAAAGGCTGGAGAGGTTCAGAGCCTTTAAATAACTCTCTAGCTGGTGGAGAAACCAAGAAAGGAAGAAATGTGCTGGACTACATGTGATTTTGTTTTCTTTTCAGATTATTTGCCTGACTAGAGAAAGGCCCAATCCAAGGTCCCAGGAGACCTAGCTGCTATCCACAAAGAAATCTGGAGTGTCTGGCCTAAGGAGGTGAACTACAAGAATGTATAGGATTTATTATAAAAAGAACTCAAATTAGCTCCCTAGGTTGTGTGGGATTCTGGCTTGCTTTTTTAAAAATCTAGGTTGGTATAACATATACCAAGGGGGTATTGGGACATTCTGATTTCTTACTAAATCTTCCCTAGGTATTGTGTTCTTGCTTCTCCTCCAGCTTGTAAAATGCAAGTAATACAAATGTTTTCTCTATTACACTACACCTAGCATAATATAGTGTATTCAGAAGTCATTCAAAACCCACTGAAACTTGGAAAGTTAAAATGCGTATTAAATTGAACAGAGGAATTTTGTTAGCATCTTCCAGGTATTCAGTCCTATGCTAATTAGACAAAAAAGGACCTTTGACCTCAAGGCATTTGCAGTCTGATAGGGGACATATTAGGAGTAAGAAGCAAAATAGCCAATAATATCTATTTATCATAGGGTGTAATTAAGTATCAAATTGCACTCTATAAGTCACACTAAAATTAAAAAGTAATATTGTTTTAATACTGGAACATTGATTCCATGTTGTTAAATGAATGCAAGTTGGAAACTTTAGGTATTAGAGAAGACTGAGGGAAATTCAAGTGACTTGAATTTCAATTCCCTCACTTCTTATCATACCCCAAGAGAGGAAGTTCCAAAATTCTCAACAAGTTCCCATAGTGTGATTCAGTCTCCATTCACCATTTTTTTCAATAAAGAATAAATAGTTCTTTGTATCATTATGGTTGAGTTCTACCCACCCCTGTATCATTGAATCACTAGTCCAGAAAACTAGCCTCTAGGAAGGAATTCAGTTTTCACAACTTTAGTAGATTTTTTTTTTTTTTTTTTTTTGAGAGAGAGTTGTCTCCCTCAGTTGTCCAGGCTTGTCTCAAACTCTTGAGCCCAAGAGATCCTTCTGCCTCAGCTTCCCAAATTGTTGGGATCATAGGTGTGAGCCATCACACCAAGCCTATCTGGTAAATCTTAAGTCTTTTTCTAGTAGATCACCACCACACCCTAAAAGTGCAAGCCCCATTCTTGAGCTCAGAGCCTTTCCTCCTTTTCTCCTATCCTTGGATGACCTAAAGGTACTAGTTTATTCATTCCGTGACAGATTTTCAAAGTCAAAAGAGAATGTTTAAAGACAAGGAATGGTCAACAGAGTTAAACACAGCTGAGTGTTCAAGTGAGATAAATGAAAAGGAACTATGGGGTTTGACTTTTGTGGGAGCACTTTGGGTGGTTTGTGTGGCAGGAATCAAGTTATCATCAGGTGCAGGGAAGGGGAAGTAGATAGCAAGATAGGAAGACACTCTTTTTTTTTTTTTTAGAGATGAGGTCTTGCTGGGCATGGTGGCTCGCCTATAATTCCAGCACTTCGGGAGGCCAAGGCAGGAGGATCACTTGAGCCCAGCAGTTTGAGACTAGCCTGGGCAATATAAGGAGATGTTGTCTCTACAAGAAATTTAAAAAATGATCTGGGTGTGGTGGCATGTGCCTGAGGCCCCAGCTACTCAAGAGGCTGAGGTGGGAGGATCGCTTTAACCAGGGATGTCAAGGCTGCAGTGAGTTCTGATTGCACCACTGTACTCCAGCCTGGACAACAGAACAAGACCCTGTCTCAAAAAAAAAAAAAAAAAAAAAAAAAAGAGGCTGAGGTTCAAAAGGAGAAAGCCCATTTTTAGAAATCTGTGGAAAGGGAAGGAGAAAGGCAAGTGATAACTGTCTAGAAGAGCATGTATCCTAAAGGAAAGGCTTCTTTTATAGAGGTCAGAGAAGTGTTTATTCTGAGAGAAAAAGATAATCGTGCAGATGAGGATGAAAAGAGGGGTGGCAAGTTCAGTGATGGTTCAAAGGCAGGAGCAGGCTGGAGATGCTGATCCACCAGCCAGACCCACTGGTTTCAGATAACAGGTGCAGGGTTATCTCACCTCTGAAACGAGAGGGCAGGGTGATAAAAATGCCCTCTGCAGAATGCAACTGGGCATTGGGCTCCCGCACCTCAGGCTGGGAGAAAGAAATGACTGAGTGTGACCAGCATATGGTGGTTTTCAGGGCAGATGAATTTGAAAGATAAAAAATTCAAGGTATTGCAGTCCTTGTGGAGGGGTGGCTAAAGTGATGCGCCTTAGTAGTTAATCTGAATGGCGAAGAAAATGAAACCAATCCTGTGGATCAAAAGAAAAATAAGATACTGGTAGATTGGCAGTCCTAATGATGTTAATTGGCAAGTGCCGTGAAAACTGGGAGGAAAAAGTACTGGTATGAGATGGGGTGTTAAAGATTTTGAAGGTGAAGCTGTACCAAGGTCCACATATACACTATATTTCCCCTTCCAGCTCATAAGTTCCGAGAGGTGGAAGACTGATACAGATATATGTTGTCACGTTCCTCAGAGTTCACTATGTAAGGAAGGTTCAGATCTCATGTCTCTCATTTTATTACACATGTTGTGATGTATTAAAGGACACTTGGATCATGTAAACTCTTTAATACCAGTAAAATAAGAAACAAGTTCACTCTAAACAATTCTTTTTTTTGTATCAGTATTATTAAGAACTCAAAGGAAAAGAAAAAAGGCATTTCTAGTCCAAATACTGCTAAAATTACTTCATTTTTTTTCATTTTATCTCCCAGACTTTATCCATGTAAATATGTAATTTTTAATAGGTTGTAATTAAGATATATACACAATTATTCTAGTTGTCAAATTACCTCATTTTGGAATGAGATGAAGATTGAAATAAATATTTTCTATGTTCCTTAATGGTGCCATAATTCATAGGTCTATCATATTTAACTGTTGTTGGACATGTAGGTTATATCCAGTTTTTCAGTATTCCAAAGAATATGATAGTGACCATCTTTTTTACATATAACACTTTTAAAAAAAAACTTTGTGTCTCCCTTTCCCCCTAACGTTTTCTTTCAGATTTTTTTCTTTAGGATATATTTCTAAAAGTAGGAAAGGGACTTAAAGGTCAAACTCTTTAAAAATACATATTGCTAGAGTCATATTTACACTGCCACACCAATGTATATACTTTGATACTTTCACCAAAAATTTGCCAACAAAACGAAGAGCTAACCACAGAATATATTTAGTCTATGCCAATAAACTCTCAGATATTAGGAGAATAGTATAGGATAGGGGAAAGAATGCTGGCCCAACCTTAAGGAAGTTCAGATTCTACCCTGGAAGTTCCTTAGGATATAACTATGTGACCTTGGTCAATTTGCTTAACTTCTCTGTTCTCATAATTGCTTATCGGCAATCATATCTGCAAAATGATTGTTAGTGTGTCTTTTTTTAAGCAAAGATTTCTGTTCCTCGTCTTCCTTACAATGACTCACTGAATAATAGCTATCATTTATTGAGTGCCCTCTGTGAGCCAGAGCTTAGAGTCACTGTGTAAGCATGTTATGTACATTGTCCTGTCTAATTCATACACAAATGGGGGCATTCGGTACAATTATCATACTCAATGAACTGATGCAAAACTAATATTAAAGCCAGTGCAATGGAGGCTGCCTGAGTTCTCATAGTTGTAATGGAGAGATGAGTGATTCAAAGGTCAGCTTAATTCCAACGTCCTGCATCTTCAACCACGCTACACTGTAAGGCCTTGGCATATTTCCTTCTCAAAAAACCCCAAAAATGTTAACCTTGAACCAATGTTTATTGTTGCAGATCTTCTCTTAACACCCCAAAGATAAGCAAATTCTGTTCCATTTACACAGAGTCCCAGGAACAGCTGAGTTGCTTGTATTTTTGTTTTTACAAAAGCTTTTGTTTTAAAGCCAACTTTTGTTTAGCATGCTCATTTCTCTTGCTAAAATAAAAATAACTTCACTTGTCTGGCTGTTCTCAGCTTTTGCATTTAGTTCATTTAATTCATGACTATTTATCTTACTGTAACAGAACCTGGGATTTTAATTGGCATTCCCTTATATAGGTTTATACTGCTCAAGATTGTTGCCTATTACTCTGCCCATGGGGCAGCTTTTATTTAAAAAGAATCAAATTAAATTGCTTCATAAAATTACAGCATGTGCTCAGAAAAGTTTTAAAAAAATTCAGTGTGCCTGGACTTCATTTTTTATTAAGAACTGCATTCAGCAGACTTCCTGTTTCAAAAGTTATGGAGTGGTACCCCCTAGTGGAAGATGCAGAGAAACTTTAGTTAACTAGCACCGTAAGCTCCAGAGGCACAAAAGACAGAAGCGAATTCTCTCCACTCCCTGCCGCGGTGTGTTGGTTCTTTGTCACTAACTTACTGCAAAACAGTGGTCAAGGAGAGGGTGAACTCACACCT